TAAATATAATGTAGGAATTTTATGACAAACAGCTGAGGTCATCGCTGGCGCTCTGCTCTTCTGGTTTTTAACGCGTATTTTGTTTTAAGTGCAGCTATTTGAACGTCACGATCTGGTTAATTACAGATTCACTGCTACGTCGATTACAGAATAAAACATAAATACGTATTTATACATCACCGCAAACATAGAAGTCTCGTCACATTCACTCCCCCTCCCAGATTACTCGATATTCCTCGGGGTGGGGTTGAACCCTCTCTATTCTCGCTAATAACTTACTTTTAATCCCTAGACGTCGCACGCCCACCCCAGAATATTCAATATTACTCGGGGCGAGGTTGAACCCACTACATTCTCGCTAATAACTTATTTTACTCTCCAGACGTCACACACTCTCTCCAGAGTACTCGATACTCCCCGTGGCGGGGTTGACCCCAGAGTACTCGATATTCCTCGCGGCGGGGTTGAACACTCCATTCTCGCTAATAACTTACTTTTACTCCCTAGACGTCACACGCTCACCCCAGAGTACTCGATAATCAATATTCCTCGGGACGGGGTTAAGTTTACCCTTCCTGGTATGTATTTGCCTGATGACTTTTGAATGGAAGGATTGGCTGCACTGGCTGTTGGATGACTTGGTAGAACCCAACAGTACCAGTCTGTATGTTCAAATCGGTCGCAGAAAGGTTTTATAAAAGGTTAGTCGATTGTCAAACGAATGTCGTTCCTCGAGATCTTCGTTGTTGCCCAAGTCTTATGTTAAGTTGTCTTTTAAGTCTTGTGTGGGGATTCCGCGTCAGTCTGCTGTCTAGCTAAAGTGCTAAGTAAGTGATTTGAAAGGTTTTTTTGTTGATGTGGAGGGAAAGGCATGTGGACGTACATATTTTTACTCCCTAGACGTCCCACACTCACCCCAGAGTATGCGATATTCCTTGGAGCGGCGTTGAACCCACCCCATTCTCGCTAATAACTTACTTTTACTTACTAGACGTCACACGCTCACCCCAGATTACTCGATAATCGATATTTTTAGGGCCGGGGTTAAGCGACCCCTTCCTTTCACGCTAATAAATTACATTCACTCTAACTAAAACACTATAGTCCTGAGGTACCGGAACACAAGTATCTGTGCCCGCCGTCGTGACTCAGGACTACACAGATCTGAGTTTGCACCAAAATATTGCCTGTATAGTTCACGAATTTTATAGTTAAAAATATGCTCGATTGTTATTTTATCCTTGCATAACGGGCACTTACGCGTCGCTCTCCTGCCAGAAGGTGCCCGTGCGTTATTCTTGTCTGACCTATACGTAGTCTAGTCATTATGGACTCCGTTTTCGATCCGTTCACCGTGGACGAGGGTCTTTCTTAGCCTATCACAATTTGGCAGGACTATTTCTATTTTTCCGAGCCCAGCGGTTTCTTCATTCTTTTACAACATTTAAAACTAATAGCTTTAGATCCACTGGGTGCAACTCTTACAAATTTAAAGTAAATCGAATAAAGCTTCCAAGTTCCCCGTCTTTTGTGAAAATGTTCAGCCGTCGTAAATGTTATATATAAAAGTTTAGAGAAAGATACGAGACATGCCCAATAAAAGAAAAGTTAGTTCAAAAGAATTGTGGTAGTTTTTTCCTTAAAATTTTGTTGTTTTCTCTGCGATACTATTAATGAATCAACGTTTAATTATTTATTGTAAAACGAATAAACTACTTGACGACGAAGAATTGCGATAGATCACGTTTTTTATCCCCGAGCTTCTTTTAACTTTGGAAAAGGATTCATTGGAGAAAAAACAGAACAAAGTGCTGTAGATAATATCGCGCGTTAAAGACTTAAAACACTAACTTAAAACTATTCTTTTTAAAACTTGGAGTTGAAAAATGGGGAAACCTCAAAGTGATACAATATTCGTCGGAACAAATCCAGAGAAATTTATTTTACTTCTGACGCTCAGGTGTATGCTAATCCAACCGGACTTTCATGTTTACCGATCCGGTATTATTTATTTTGTCAAAAGCGATAAAGTCAGCCGAGCGGGAAAAGTAAATATGAGTCATGAGGTCCGTGGATGTGCACCTCCCATTTCCCTTTAAAGGACAAATTGACGAGACCACTTTATGGAGTCTTCCCAAAACTGTTCAAATATTTATGAAACAGCATTTATGACTAGTAGAGTCGAGAGTAAAGTGATATTACCTGCCTCTCTCCCTTGCATGTGCATTTTCTTCGTATTCTATTTATTACCTTCTAAATATTACTTAACTTGACGTATGTCATGTGAAACAGAAAGAATATTAGCAACCGCAGATATCACTATGGTTAATAAATAAGACCATGACGCAAGCGATTATTTTCTAGCGTTCAACCAGTGATTTGTTTTCCATTGATAAAACCAATTTAAAAAATATTTTCATATTTTTAGTTAAATCGTACAAATCTTGTTATTTGGTAGATAATTTTCATAAAAGGATGATTTTATTCATTCAAAACATACGTGCATGAGCCCAATTATCAAAAATGAAACAATAAACATCTTATTTGCACTACCATATAATAAAAAGAAAATATACATGTTACTAACTTTATTGCCAGCTCCTGCATCCGGAAGGTACATAAGAAACCATCCAATTTTGGCACTCAGGCGTGAGGAATTAGAGGGCCTGAGGTCTCGAGGTTATCGACGATTAAGGCTACGTGGGGGGGTTCGAGCGATAGGGTTAGGATGAATCCAGGGGTTAGTCTGCAACCTTTGGGAATCGAGAACGTCAAAGTTCGTCCACAAAAGGAATGTTGAAGTCGTGGTAGATAGTGAGGTTTGTGATGTAGTAAGGCGTTGTGACAATTTGCCTGAGGACTATTGATTGGAAGGATTGGATGCACTGGATGTTGACTTGGCAGAACCCAACAGTTCCACTCTGAGCGTTCAAATCGGTCGTAGAAAAGTTTTCTCAAAGTTTTTCAAATAATTAAGGTTTTGGTTAAGATAAAAAAGTCAGTGTCACAAGCGGGATTCGAACCCACGACCTTCGGCTAAATACGCCGCCACTTGAGCTATCGTGACTTCGATCCACTCGGACACTAACTTCCCATCTCAACCCCTCCTTTTTGCCATTTTTATTTCAACCAAAACCTTAATTAATTGAATAGAATTTATTTGGTCAAGCGGACCATGAAACCTAATAAAAAGTGTTACAAAAATTAGTTTAGTGTTGTGATGTCAACACGGATTTCGTTTCTAAAGCTCTTCGTAGTAGCCCAAGTTTTATGTTAAGTTGTCTCTTAAGTCTTTTGAGGGGATTCCACGTCAGTCTGCTGTTTAGGTAAAGTCCTAAGTATTTGATTTGAATGGTTTTGTTGTTGATGTTTAATGAAGGGTAGGATTGTTTTTTTCTTCAAAGTGAACGTACACTGAGTACATTTTTCTTCATTCAGTCTTATCTTACACTTTTTTCATCAGCCTTAGATAATCTCAAAGTGTTTTTGGATTTGGAGGTAGCTTGGATAGAAGACAAAATTCGTAATCATCCGCGTAGGTGGTGATGATGGCATGAGGGTGTATAAGTAGGTCAGCAGTATAAATTATAAAAGTGTGGGACCAAGAATGCTCCCTTGTCGGACGTCTACTTGTATCCGTCTGATTTCCGAGAATTACATCTAGGAACGCACCCAAGCAATTCTCTTTCTTCTCTAGAGCAGAGGAGGTGATGTCGATCTACAAGAGAAGTTTCATGTTCTTCACCTACAAGAAATCTTTGTTCTGTTATGCAAATGAAGTAAATTTACTTTTCTATTTTATGAAGTTTGTACAACGACATTTTTTTATGGGGAGACCAGATAGGACAAGTATACTCTAAACGACAGCGAATTGTGGAACAGATTATCTTTTGAATTGCAAATATATTTTTAAGAACTTTAGAATTGTGAATAACATAACCTAACAATTTTGATATGACTTTATAAACTCTAAAAAGCCTTCTGTTCGTCCCTAAAAAATCAATCCTCTTGCTAACATAGTTATGTAATGCTGTCCAAAGAACTACTTACTTTTCCGTTAAAATGGAAAACTTCAAAACCACGATCCCAAGGCCCCATAAACTTAACCGATTACGTCCCGGCCAACAGATACAAGCCTCAAGTACTGTTTTAAGATTTCGAAGCGTTATCAAAGTTTGTTCCAGAGGTCCTCCAGACATATCCTCAATAAACTGTACACTTAATTGTTCTTCCTGACATGAAAGCAAGCCTGGGACATATAGATTCACGCACACACTCTCAATTTTGAGCAACAATGAGTCTAATTATCATTTTACCTCCATTCAGTAGTCGAAAGGGTTTCACCTTTTAGCACTTAAAATTTTATCTATTGTGATCGATAGTACTGGATTTCCTGGAAGATTTTCGTTTATTTGATGAAGTACAGAATTCCTCTCAGGGGAATGGATATCAAGGTCTCTGCCTTTTACTGATTATTACAGGGCAGTAGTTATGCTCGGTTTGTATGTTGTAGACATAGCTGAAATTGGTTCTCTGTTTTTAATCCCTTTTTTTAAAATAGTTTTTTACTGGTAAATATAGCTGTCATATGTAGGTTTCTTTCTTTTGTCCCTTTATTTCCAGTTGGGTTGTTTTTGCGAGTAGTCTTTTTGCTTTTCTCATGCCCGGAATATGTTGCCAATATTTGGTGTGTTCTTTAGTTACTCACGATTTCAGTTCTTTCTTTTTACATGGCTACAGCTAATGGATGTGGGCCTTGTGTTCATGAGTTATTTTTAACTAGTATGTCTGCTGCTTATTTGTCTGAAATTCTCTTATGACACTTCATATTGACAGATTAGTATTTGTGTTGATCTCGCTTGGGGAGCCTTTAGATCCTATCAGATCGTATTATTGTTGCATTCTTGTAATGTTTGTTATTTATTTCACATTTGTTTATATGGTTGGCAATTCTCCGTTAAGGTGGTTGTGGTGAGTCCGATGGAATGTGGTTCTCATAGTTAAGCCCTTTTATGCCCATGCACATGCGAGTCATCCTTGCGCAGAGGCCAAGCTAATCTTCATTGCATCGTTCCAATTTTAGTATATGTACCGCCGAAGCGAAAACAGTAGCAATTCTCCTTTAAGGTGGTTGTGGTTAGTCCGATGGCCATGTGGTTCTCATAGTTAAACCCTTTTATACCCATACACCCATACACATGGAAGTCATCCTTGTGCAGATGTCATGCTAATCTTCTCTGTATCGCTACGATTTTAGTATATGTACCGCCGAAGCGAGAACGGGTAGAAATTCTGCTTTAAGGTAGTTGTGGTGAGTCCGATGGCCATGTGGTTCTCATAGTTTTAGGCCCTTTTATGCCCATCTTTCAGCTGTCAGTATATCAAGAGTTCCAGATGCCATCAGGTTCCTCCATCCAGGTTGATTCCTGTATCAGACAGCATTAAAAAGACGCTGAAAATTCTAATGTGCAACACCTTATTCACAATGAGTCAAGACAGCTCGCAGAGTAGATTCGGGGTCAATCACTAAGTTTAATAGAACAATAAAGAATGTTCTATTTCTTCTTTTTAACCAAGGCTTTCAATTTGCAGGTTACTATTCATAGGTTCGAGGTTGTATGAGCATTTGGAGAATGATCAATTACCCTTAGTTGTCCCGTGAATCATTTTGATAAGGGGATTATTATATCTTGCTTAATTAATTGCTGTTAAATCGTGATATTCATCGAGATATGATGGTCTTGCAGATTGGTCGTCTAGGCTCATGCGTGTCTTCTAATTCCATGCCCCACCACTGAGGGTCAATTGCTGTTTAATAATCATTAGTACGTTTTAACATTTTGTTCGACTGTTCATGAATGTCATTTGATTAATGCTGTAACAAACTTTTCATACATCAATGTTATTATTTCCCATTTAGCTGACATGTTGTTTTTTCTGTTTTAGATCAAAATGACGGAGCTACGATTCGTTTTAATAAAGCTGGCTTTAATATGTGCTCATTTCGTCACGACTCACGGTAAGTGTTATTAAAATTATTTATTGATTTTTCTCAGTACTCTTAATTCGGCAACATTGATTGGTACATGGTTTTTTAATATATCCAATTTAATACTGATTTAATTAATTTACGAAGGATACAAACGAATCCCATTATTTCACCGGTTCTCCTCATCCTGAAACATTCTGAAACTAATTAATATAAAACTTTTCCATTCAGTAATTTTACTGATGGGTAAGTTTCATGGTTCTGTTGGAAGTTCTTTTAATTTAATTTATGTTAATATCTTGAAAGCTCTCATAAAAATGTTAAACTCATTTTTGTATTAAAAAGAAATCCTCTTCTAAAAGCCTCTCGATTCGTTTTCAAAAATTATTTGAGTTTTCAAAAAATTTATAATCCCTATTTAGAAAAATCGTCACCGTTAACGATTGCAGTTAGTAGACATACACTGTTTAGGTGTACATTTTTGTTTGGTTTCGTTCGTTTAGGATGAAGCTATAATAAAAACTTCGGTTTGATTTTCGGCGTTATTGGAAACGGAAGTTTAAAAGCAGCCGAAGCTCGAAGTTTTGATAGGTAAGAGGTCCATAACATCCATCGGTTCATTTTAACCAGCCAGATCCAGTTTCTTTTCGAGATATAGAAAATACAATTTTCATTCCATTCAATAACGTAAGAACAAAAAACAATTCAATGGTAGAGCAGCGGCGTATCAAGCCGAAGATCGTGGGTTCGAATCCCGCTCGTGCCATTGACTTTTTTATCTCAACTAAAAACCTTAATTAATTGTAATATATTAATTGGTCAAGTGGACCACGAAATTAGTGAACAAAAAACAATGTAAAACTACCGTTTATTTGGTCTCAAGTTAAACATTAAAATTAACTCCATTATATTTCGTGGTCTAATTGACCAAATAACTTCTTTCAATTAATTAATCTTTATTTAAGTTATTGATTGAGATAAAAAAAGTCAGTGTCACGAGCGGGATTCGAACCCACGACCTTCGGCTAAACACGCCGCTGCTCTACCACTTGAGCTATCGTAACTTCGATCTACTCGGACACCGACTTCCCATCTAACCCACCCATTTTTAATAACGTAGAAAGAAACTACGCGCAATAATTTCGATAGTTGGACGTTGTCAATTAAAACACCAGAATCAGAACATCTGTTTTTAAAGATAAGGATAAAATCATCAATTCTTAATTGATTTTTTGGCCTTCCACTTCCTTGGTTTTTTTGAGGGAGAGCCACGACCCAATTATTTGTGTGTAAAACTATGTTTAGAGGTACTTTAAAACACTTTTATGGCTCTTCCTTGGAGAACAGTTCATAAAGAAAGGGTATACTCAATTGTTATTTTTAATGAAATTGTGTAGTACTAAAATGTGTCAAAAGTCCTTGGGTGTAACGTCGTATTTATTGTCAAAAAATGACATAAACATGAATTTTATTCCTCAAAAAGTAAGTCCTTATTCCTTAGTACCAAGGTGCATTGATCACGTTATCATTTTATTTTGGGGTGTTTCTATAATTTTGGTATTACTGTGTTTGGTGCAATCCAACATTTGAATTTTAAAGTTTTTAAGACTGGTTTGTATATTAATGTTTTATTTAATATAATAACAAGCTGATGTAATTGTGCACACCTTAAACCTATTTCTGTCCTTCTTTTCTTCGAGTGATCTTTCCATCTCAGTGTTGCATCTAGGGCCATTTAGCACCAATTTAACTTTATCGCTGTATGCTACAAAAGCTCCAGAAAATAGATAGACCGTGGCCCAATTTTTTATCCGTAAAATTTATACCGATTTAAGCTGATAGAGCCTGATCATCTTTTTCGCCCATTTATGTATGTCTTTTTGAAAGATTTTGGAATAATAGTTAATGGTCCTACTAGAGCCTGATACTCCATCTTTTTCGCCCATTACTTGAGCCTCATACACCATCTATATCTCTATTTATGTTTGTCTTTCGAAAGATTTTGGAAAAGTGGTTAATGGTCCTACTAGAGAGTGATATTCCATCTTCTTCGTCCATGTATGTTTGTCTTTTGAAAGATTTTGGCAATATGGTTAATGACTAGAGCCTGATACTCCATCTTTTTCGCCCATTTATGTATGTCTTTTGAAAGATTTTGGAAAACTAGTTAATAATCCTACTAGAGCCTGATACTCCATGTTTTTGTTCATTTATGTAAGTCTTTTGAAAGATTTTGGAAAAATGGTTAATTACTAGAGCCTGATACTCCATCTTTTTCGCCCATTTATGTATGTCTTTTGAAAGATTTTGGAAAACTAGTTAATAATCCTACTAGAGCCTGATACTCCATGTTTTTGTTCATTTATGTAAGTCTTTTGAAAGATTTTGGAAAAATGGTTAATTACTAGAGCCTGATACTCCATCTTTTTCGCCCATTTATGTATGTCTTTTGAAAGATTTTGGAAAACTAGTTAATAATCCTACTAGAGCCTGATACTCCATGTTTTTGTTCATTTATGTATGTCTTTTGAAAGATTTTGGAAAAAATACTTAATGGTCCTACTAGAGCCTGATACTCCACTTTTTCGCCCATTCGCCCATTTATGTATGTCTTTTGAAAGATTTTAGATCCAAACCTTGCTAAAAGCCTGAAAAACATCAAGAAGATCGTGCGATTTTTTACATTACATCCGTGTGTTGCAATTTTTACGCCATCCATTTTCGTTAAATCACTGGCATATAGCAAGTAAAGTATTGGACGTAGTATGCTCCCTTGGGGCACTCCGGCATTTATTTTTTGATGTGCTTGTTTGACTATAAAATATCTGTCAGTTAGTTGGGAACTGGTAATATTTACACACTTCTTTTGTTGAATCTTTTTGTTTATTGATGCCTTCACCCCAAACCTTGCTAAAAGCCTGAGAAATATCAAGGAAGATCGTGGGTTTTTTAATTACATCCATATGTGGCAATTTTTACACCACCCATTTTCGTTAAATCACTGGCATATAGCAGGTAAAGTATTGGACCTTGTATGCTCCATTGGGGCACTTCGGCATTAATTTTTTTTATTCTTGAATATTGTTCTTCTTGTTTGAATCTAAAATGTTTTGTCAGTTTGGTAGGAATTGGTAATATCTAAATCTTCTTTTGTAGCTTCTCTTTGTTTATTGATAAACCCCTCTGCCTCGCCTGAGAAACGAGGAAGATCGTGTGATTTTTTAAATTACATCGGTGTGTTGCAATGTTTACGCTACACTTTTTCGTTAAATCACTGGGAAGTGGCGTATAGGATGTAAAGTGGTATACCTACTATGTACCTTGTCAAACAACAAGGAAGATGGTGTTCTTTTTCTATTACATTATTTGTGTATTTGGTCCTCTGTTGACTGTTTTCATCAGAATGGAAATTGGTCTATGATCATTTTTTTTCTACTATGGATTTTGTTCATTTTAGTAATAACTTTTCGAAAAACTAGATCGTCTCGGTTATAGCCGATATGATTTGACCTCGTTGACGTGTTTTGTATCATGATTTCTGTAAATTTCCAAATGCTGAAAACACATTTTGGTCTGATTGAAGCATCAAATAGGTAATTTACTATGGTACTTGGTTTACTATGGTCAGACCAAACAATACTTGCATGCCAGGTTGACACAGCACAGATTGTTCTGACAACACTAATGCCAGGAACAGCTTTGTCAATGCATCATCGTGATACCAATCATGAAATATACTTCGATGATATGGATGTGGTTGACAAGGAGAAAATCTTGGACAGAAGATTGTTAAAAGAAATATTATATTAAATCTGATGTTAATTTACTAAACTTGAGCAGTGATATCAATAATCTTTGTTGTCTAATTTACTTCCTTCTGGGTTGTGTCATTCTGTGTCTATGACCACAATTGGTTACTTCTCATTTGGTTACATATATATATGTATTGTTGTTCATCATGATGAAGACATGATGAAGAACTCAATAAAGGTTGGAAGCTTGGCATAAGGTGAAAAACTTACTTGTTTTGATGACCGCATCCCTGATCTCTAACTTACTGGTGATATCCTGACGGTCGATTCGTACTTCCTTCATTAAATAGGTTATGTTAGTTTAACCCGGTAGAAGACAGGAATGTTAAATCAGGTTGACCTTTTCAATTTCTGCTATTTAACGAAATGCAAGAACGTAGTTGTGTTGCAGCTTGGCTTGATACCGATTGATCAAAGGGTAATTCGCTTTTTAAACTCTATCGTGCCATTTGGAACAAATTCAAAGTGCAAAACACATTCACAGTTTTACTAAACGCCAAACATAATCGTTTTTCCCTAAACGATCCTGGGTTAGTCGCAGCTTTCGGTTGATTGGATTTTTTTTCTTTTTCAAACGTGCTCACTTTTCATCATTTTTCTTCAGTGAAATCTTTTGATGTTTGGAGCGAATTGGTTCAGATATCGACCGCTCTAGCTTGGTGCCTCTGACAAATCATAATGATTTAATCTTCGCAGCTATATTCAAGACAACGGCTTTTCAAAGAAGGCTTTCGATGGCAGCCTACCCCGGCCTCGAGGCCAATATCCGGGAGTAGCAGAACACGAACCCTGCTTCCAATCTGGTGCAATACATCATCTTCAATATGATTTAAACCCATTGAAACGTTTCAAAATTGTCGTTCCTTGCAAAACCATTCACGGCCAATTGCACAAATTTCATGTGCTATCTTCTTCATACTGTTTTTTTTTCCAATCGCTCTTCTCAGAAGTGAATCACAATTTAGATAGATAAAGAACGTCTACTGAGTATAGAAAGTTACAATAAACCAAATCTTTTATAAAGACAAATTCAGTGATCTAGGCCGTTAGGATGTCTAGAATCGGAAATAATTACATTTCTTCAGTTATATTAATAATTAATTCATCTTTATGTAAGGTGTGGTGATTAGCGTTACTCGATGATTATTCGGAAATCATGAGATGCGGTCTGGTTTGATGTAGGTTTCAGAAAAACATTTGCTTTATCTTGCCCACGTT